CACAAAACTGCAGCTTTGCCTGAGGCCGCATTTCTCTATCAGTCAGTTGGCCCGGGACGGCGCTATGGCTGGGATAGTGCAGGGGTTTTTCTTGGCAGCAAAAAGCACAAGAGATGCCCCGCTGTGTCACCCAAACTAACCCCAGCACACAAAACGGGAAAGTGGAAAGACCGAGGCCGGGAGAGTGGGAGCCCGAACCGACAGGGACCTCATGTGACTTGACTGGATCTTATTGTTGCGATTATCGAACAAAGTCTGTCACCTGCAGCCATTAAAACACACTTTTATCAAACGGCTTTTAACCTCTACTTTGAATGTGTTGTATTTTACTGTTCCACATTGTCTTGGTTTTTTCATTCTTGTGTTTCCACTGTCTGCTTTGTTTTCCTGTATCTACTGTTAATGTTTTTTTTTGTTCCTTCCGAGCATATAACAGTAACTATTTTGACTTTGTATTATTATTTCTGTTTTATTGGCTGTTTTTATTGTTTATGCTGACTGTGCAGCACTTTGTAAACACTGGTTTTGAAAAGTGCTACATAAATAAAGATGTATTATTGTTATTTTTAGAAGACATATTATGAAAATGTAAGTTTGTCAGTTTTTCTCTGTTACAACATTGTTCCTTCATCAAAAACAAACCTGGAGCTGTTCTTAGATCCTTTCACGCTAATATGAGGAGTTTCTGACAAAAACATGTAACTCTACCCATTCCTTTGTACTACTGTACAATATAATCATTGCTCCTAAATTACGTTCGACAATTCTTTACAACCACATGGTTATGTTTGCTGTCGGTGATTTTCAAATTTGGAAACCAAACAAATGATACGCCTCCCTCTGGTGGTAGCACAGGGACATGGCAGGCCAGTAGCGTTGTTAACCCTTGATACTTGTTTCACCATAAACTCTACTTGCTATATTGTGTCACATTGTACAATGATTACTGGCCTGAGAGTCTAGCGGTGTGGATGTGGATGTGATCAGAACTTCTTCCTATCGTCACCCTCGTGAGGAAAGGGTTTATGGATAAAGAAAGATAAAGAGATCTTTTAGAGGGCAACAGTGGCTCAGTTGGTAGAGCATTGGCCTTTGAGCCTGAAAGTCGTGGGGTCGAGCCCACTACAAGATCTTCTTCACTACTCCCACTGATGACTGCTGTTGTTGTGTCCTTAGGCAAGACACCTGACCCCACTTTGCCTGAATCCCCCGCTGAAAGATCAAGGCTGGATAAATGGATGTTTTAAACATGAAATTACATAGTATGGATTTTTATTATAATCTTATGGCCAAAGATAATACATCATATTTCTGCTTTGAAGTCAACTTTCACAGGTCATTCACAGGTCATATCTGTAGAAAGCCAATATATGATTGTCAAGATTTCAGGAATCAACAAACTCTTTCTTTTCGTTCATCTAATGTGGCTCTCTGCCTTGCTAATCCAAAGCAGCCATAGAGATCTACTGTACATACACACAAGTTCACAGTGATTGTGTTTACAAAGCATAAGAATACGGAGTACGTTCAAAAACGATTCTCAAACCGCCCTGAGGTTGTGGTCCCGTCTCTGTGCGCCACACGGAGAAGCCACACAAAGCTCCAGATGTTTCCTTATAACTCAAACTTAGTAACTGTTCTTATAAGATTTTTTTGTTATCCTACATATATTATAAGCTCACAGTCGGCAAATGTAATCCCACAACATGATGTCGACTTTGGGCATTAGATTTTCACACACGCTCAGATGCTGCAGCAGACATCGAGTTTCCGCAGCACTCTGAAAAGCACCATGAATCTTTTATCGTTTTGTTTTTACTTTGCGTAACAAAACAAAACACTTGCAGCAAGGGAATGATTATTGATCCTGAACAAAATGAGTGTGTACTCTAAACATGTATTCATTCAACATTTTTAGTTTCAGCTCAATACCTCGCTATGGACTACTTCTTCTTATCTTAATTGGAACATGCAGCTTTATGTGCATCTTTAGCCAGTTCAGCTTCACCAGTACAGGCCTGATACTGCTCTATATAAAGCTCAGAACTTATTCAAAACCAGCTATTGACCTTGTTTGACTATATACTGTGTCAGTGTCGAAGAGCCTTATGCTGCTAATGTACAGATGCTAACATACTGCTGCTAATGTACAGATGCTAACATACTGCTGCTAATGTACAGATGCTAACATACTGCTGCTAATGTACAGATGCTAACACATTACTACACATTGCTTGCACTAGAATACAAAGAACTGTATACTTGCCTCTTATTTTGCCAATTGTCAAACTTTTGTATTATTATTATTTTCAAGTTAGAGATTTTATACTTGTTATTTAATGCTAGAGTTAGAGACTTTGTTTAATTTTAGTTTACTTGTGATGCAACACTGACATTTCCCCACTGCGAGATGAAAAAGGGATCTCTTAATCTTAATCTTAAAGTATAGACATGTAAGTGTGATTGTGGCACAACATTTAGTATCAGGCGCTAATCTAGCTGGTGAAAATTCAGCCAACTCCATCTCTGTCAGACGTAAATCATTATGGGCCTGTCACACCTGATTTAAAAACCTATTATGCCATTCCTGCTTTTAATCATGCTACAACACTGCTCTCATCAAAAACAGACGCAGCCACAGTCCTGTAATAGTAGGATGTCTTTGTACCACCGTGACATCACACTCAGAGCAGTCTTGCATTTTAAAAACAAAGATATTGCTCGTAAATATGTTCTAGCAATTTCTCAGGTGAAATTACGTTCCTTACAATCACATGGCTCTGTTTGCATCTGGAATTTTTTGGTTTTTTTTTGGAAAGAAAATAATCAACTATTTCCTCTGGTAGCATTTTATACTTGCTCCACCATTTTCAGCTTGAAATGTTAAATCACATTAGAAAAAAAACACAAAATGACCATAGTCTCATTATCATTTGTAATGGTCAAAGATAATGCATTATGTTTATTATCTAGAGATCACAACAGCCTGAATCCATTCCGAGTTTTTTTCATTACGGGTTGTCTGCCCCTGGACATGTCAGCAGAAGTAATGTGGCCCTCTTACTAAAATGTTTGGTCGCTCCTGATCTAGCAGGCGTTTTCTGTCTTGCATACTTGATAGAAAAAGAAATTGTGAAAAGTAACATTCATGGCAACAAAAGCTAGTGGCAGCACTTTTATTTCGGTCTTAATTTAAATCAAAATGGCTCTAAATAACTTCTTCTATAGTACCATTGTGATTAGGTAGAGATTGTAAAAATGCTTTGTGACTCGACATTATATTTAATAATCATTTTTGCTTGTATGCTGGAATAGATTTTTTTGTTAATATATATTCCAACATTGATATGATAAGTCAGATAAGATCACACATATAATAGTATGGATGGGTGAATGTGTATTGAAATTAATCTAAAACCAGTAGTATCAGTTGTATGGAGCCACTTCCTTTACTTTCATTTGAAGTTTACCCCTAACCCAACATGTCCTTTTCACTCTGGCACCCCCAAATGTTTGTGGAAATATTTGGCAGCCCAACTATACAATTCAAAGCAGTAACACAATTGAAGTTGAGTTACATCATCTGTTCTTTGACCTACGTTCACTGAGATCATAGTCATGTATAGACTTGATTTAATTGAGTTTTTATAATTCTATCATCATCATAGCGCATGAATGAAATAGAAAACACATTGGTCCATATGGGGAAGATGACCAATGTCCATAAGTGTTGCTAAATGTCCATAAATGTTGTATGTATTTATGTATTTACATTTTAACATGTATGCACCAAGAGCAACTTCCTAGTTTGTGACTTCTTGTTACTCACAATGGCAATAAAAATAACTCTGATTCTGATCGGAACTCAAAAGGCAATACCAAATATGAATTCTTAGGAGTGTGTGCTCCTTCTTTATGACCCCTGTTCTCTGAAGTCCCATGTCTCTGAAGTCCCATATCCTCAACCACGACTCACCACTTTGAAACCACATGCACACTTCCTGGCTGCATATACTGTAGGGCTAATGGGTCACATGCACATGCTGACCTGTGGAGTATCCCGGGCCAGGGACTGTACAGAGACTGTGTGTTTCTGTCCAAAAAGAGTGAACACAATGATGTCACTGCAAAGTTACTTCCTCTGACCTCATCACAGATTAAACACTGTGCATCGGAAACCAAAGAGTGAGAGGGAGTGGTGAGAGGAAGACCATTCGTGTCCGCTGCAGGAATGAATCTTACACATGGGCTGAAGCATTCACAGCAGGAGAGAGCAAATGATCACATGTAGCAGAATAAAACAAGTGCTGACATGGCAGCAAAAATGCACGTTGGCATGGAGGAAGCTGCATGTTGCTGCAATTTAAGATTTGGGAAGCTGCCAATTACAGTAGACAGAGAAGACCATGAGAAAATTAAGAGATAAGCACAACAGCTAAACTAGATCATGAAAGGAATAATCTCAGAGGCATTGTCTGCTTGAGCAAATATGACGCTCCTCATAAAAAGTAACGAATGCCCATGTTTCAGTCATATAAATGCACCTTTATGAGCCCCACGCCCTGCCACAGGAATGCCCCTCTCTGAGAGCCTTCACTGTTTAAAGGTGCTCAATGCTGCACTCTCTGAGCAGAGTGGGGACTTTAATTTTAACGTCCATGCATGCCCTTCTACACAAGAGGCATGTTCAATGTGATCAGTGTGTGAGCCCTATATCTTGTCTTGTACATGTCTACCCCTTCTTACTTTCATTAAGCCTCAAATAATAAGCTCTACAGAGAGCGCACATGTAGAGGCCAATTATCCGCATACCTGACGCACAGAAGCTCCTTAGGGTGATTGTATTAAGTGACAGACGCGACAGACGCGACAGACGCTACCGGTGTCTGCTCCATGTGTCTGGAACATGTCAGAACTTTTCAAACAAAAAACCAAATAGCCAACATTCTGGGAAGGACACTTCCACCTGTCCCGTGAAGCGGCAGAACATGTGCTCTCACCCGGTTGTTCCGGTCAGCAGCCGTGACCTCCTCCTCGGTCACCCCGTGGCGGACCATGATACGAACGATGGCCGCGTTGTTGGAGCAGCACGCCTGGAAGAAGGTCAGCGGCTCTGGACTCTCCGGGGACGGCGTGCGCTCTGAGTCCGCGAACAGTTCATCATCAGGCGGGTAGAAGGAGTCATCAGAGACGATGCTCCTGCAGTCCTCCAAGTCTTCAAAGTCCACCTCCTCAAAGTCTTCATCTTCATCGTCGCCCTCGTCATCCTGGGACAGGGACTCCTCTGTGATGGTGGGCTGAAGCTGAGTGACTTTTCCCGGTACTTTGAGGAGCTGGGGCTGGTGCTGGTGTTGGAGCCGGACTGCTCCATCCCTGTCGTCCGTGATCAGCACCATCTAACCCCGCAGCCGTGGACACCGTCCCCGGGGGGTAGTGCAGCCTGGCGCGCAGTGCGTGGGCATGGGAGAGCAGAGCTGGTGAATGTCTGTCTAATCTCACATGGAAAGTCAACACAAGTCCGCTGCTTGTCGCTGCTGTTTTCTCCGCGGATAGTCCCTTATCGCGCTGTGCTTACGCGGATCCATCTGTCATTTACGCACACTTAATGTTGACGTTAGTGCGCGCACCACAAAGAAAAACATGACACAAAGTAGAGTATAAAGTCGTCTTCTTCGCTAAAACGAGTCCGTACAGATCCGACATGCACCAAATGTAAAGAGTGCAGGCGCTTCAAGTGGAGTTGGAGACTTAAGTGAAGTAAAAGTGCTGCGTACACGTCCCATGTAGGGCGGGGAGACAGCAGTGTGTCAACCTGCATCTCCTAATCCGATTAGGTCAGACTGGGACCTCTCTCTCTCTCTCTGTCCATAGGCTACTGATGCCAGATTAACTCGCCATCACTGACTATGCTCTCACTGCACATCCCTTCAATCTTCATAGAGGATTATTTAGAAGTACACCGTGCATCACATGACCGGGACATTTGCCATAGAAATGCTCTATAGGCTGCTAAACTGTTTTTTCCTCAATGCTTTCCTAGTCATGGGTTTTAGATTATCCACTCATGAACTGGAAATAATAGCCTAGTGATATTGTCTGTATCTGTGTAAGCCTATCTAAGTTTGGAACCACAACAAATTAAATAATAAAATCCATAATAACTTCTCCCCCCTTCCCTCTCAAAACAAATCAGTTCTACCACTGTTTCCCTTTTAGAAAAACCTTTTTTCACTTCCAGGGCACTCCCTTTAAAGTGTGCCAAATATACAACAAATTCTTACAACACATAGAGGTCGGATTTGTGCAAAAAGGGTTATTTTATACAAGACTTGTTCTGTTGGGACAAACAAAACAACACAATTTACTATTTTTGAAATGAAAGTGATGTCCTTCAGCTTCATCAAAGTTGAAACATAGCCTGCTTCCTGTCATGCTAATTGAAATATTTGACACATTAAACAACATTTTCCTAGATTACTCCGAAAAGTTGATAACACATTTTCCATAGAATCCATTAGCATTGGCTGCTGTGGAAAACTGAGCTGAGAAGTCCCATTGTGTGGCCGTTATTATTATGGCTCCATCTGCCTCCAGCTGAGAGCTCTGACAGCCCTCTCCCCCTGGGCTTCTGTTTCTATGGCATCGGACTGTTGCTATATATTTACACCTATATAACCTATGATGACTATTCTTAATCTTTGTTCCAGATGTATGCAGTATGTATTGTCTCCTACTCAGGTAAATACAGTGTTGCAAATTAGATAAAAAATAAATAAATAGATCTCATACTTTGCTTGAAAAACTTGAAAAAAGTGACCTGTGGATGCATGCTAAATAATACAACTTTATTTAAATACATCACATTGAAAAATCCAACTGCTCGACTCACTCACTTTTCCAAAAACATGCACTTAATTAAACAAAAATACATATATTGATCAGGTCAGAGTTGTCACTGCACAGTTGGAGGTAAATTATAATGCTGGCAAACTCTGGAGGGGAAAGCCACGATGATATAACCTAATCATACTATGCCAAAATTATTACTCAACAATATTTCACAAGAACCATTTCCTGTCAGTTCCCCAAGAAGTGAGCCACACCGATTTAGAAACTTTACATGAAAATAAAGGAAACGGCACAATTGAAAATGTGCGCATTAAAGCAGTAAGGCAGTAGCAGTATAGCAGTAACAGTAGCAGTGCTATACTGCTACTGCCATACTGCTATACTGTTAGCAGCAACAGTATAGCAGTAGCAGTATAGTAGTAATTATAACTCAGTGTAGCAGTAGTATAGCAGTAGCAGTATAGTAGTAACAGTAATGCAGTATAGTAGTAGCAGTATAGTAGTACCAGTAACGCTGTATAGCAGTAGCAGTAAATCAGTAGTAGTAGCAGCACCAGTATAGCAGTAGCAGTATAGTAGTAACAGTAATGCAGTATAGCAGTAGCAGTATATCAGTAGTAGCAGTAGTAGGCAAGGCAAGGCAAGGCAAGTTTATTTGTATAGCACAATTCATACACAAGGCAACTCAAAGTGCTGAACAAGATAGCATTAAAATCATAAATAATCACAGAACATTAAAAATAAAGATAAAAACATAAAATCCCTCAGTTATATGCACAGCTAAACAGAACTGTTTTTAACCTGGTTTTAAACATTGTCAGAGAGGAGGCCTGCAGTAGCAGTATACCAGTAGCAATATAGTAGTACCAGTAACGCAGTATAGCAGGAGCAGTATATCAGTAGTAGCAGTATAGTAGTACCAGTAACGCAGTATATCAGTAGTAGCAGTGTAGTAGTAGCAGTATGCATATAAAGTATTGTCCGACCACCGTTCAGAGGGCCTACTCTGAGACTGATATGTAAACACTTATCTGTTTACTTCTCAGTTTTCTCTTTTAAAATGATTGCAGATTCTTCTCCCTGAGCCAGGCGTGCCAGCTATCACAGGCTGATTAGAAACAGCTTGATTAGACATTTTTCACATTATTAGTAATCACTGAATTATACCAGGACAAGACAACAGCACAAGTGTTGTGGTTTAATCAGCCAGCAACAAACAGTTTTGTCAAGTTGTTTTTTCTCTGGTACTGGTACTTGTCCATGGGTTGTTTGTCATCAAGAATAAATACACACTGACAGACTTTAAAAAATACAGATATCACACAATAATAAAAGGCATACCCACTGCATACATGAGACATAGTACATAATCTCTGATGATTTCATTCATGGTGAGGTCCCTTAAGTACTGGATGACCTTGGGAGAATATTCAAAGAACTTTTTGATGGTGAGTTCATGTCCTCTCGATATATAAAGTCCAAAGGCTTGATCCTTCCATTCTGTAGATCCCTGAAAGAAAAGAATAGTAGTTCATAATTCAAATTTCAGTTTTTTTGGAAATAGAAATAGACCATTGGCTCGGGTAACACTCAGAGTCCCAGTCTGAACAGGACCTTTCTTTGTGGAGTTTGATTGTTCTCCTCATGTCTGCGTAAGTTTCCTCCAGGTTCTCCGGTTTCCCCTACCACTAAAAACATGCTAGGGAAATACTCCAGCTTCGGTAGTTCTAACCAAGCCGAGCATTAAGATCTGGAGATGGGTTCCAGAGCGATCACTGCTCCTGACAGACACCCTAGTGGCATTTGCAGGATGGGTCAAATGCAAAGGACAAAGTTCCCTACGGGGATAAATAATGTGCATATTAACATTTAAAGTTTAAATAGTTGAATGCCGTTCCATACCTACAAATTTAAATGTGTGTAAGTGTAAAAGGCCTTCTATCTGTTCTCAATTCTGGTTATTTTCCGTGACGTCTGTTTAGTTCACTGTTCCCGACTTTGAGGTTACTCCCTGCATCGGTCACATCTTACCCTGGCCCTGGGGTCAGTTCTGAGTGGACACGCAGATGATGGGGCCTGTCAGTTTGCTTTGGTCTCCTTCACACTGCGCTGCAACATTTGTCATGACTCTGGAGATGTGACGCAATGGACCGAGTTTGGAGAAACGGCAGAGGTTGCACAACAAGGTCAAGGCCTTCGCGATGACATCACTTTTCATCGTAAATCAATGTGACACCAAACACATCCAAACATATGTACGCGTGTATGAGAATTATTACATCTATGCTATAAAACACATTGTCCAAGTCCCACCATGTCTCCAGGCATTTTGTGACCTACGCAAAACAATTAACAATGTGTGAATCCTTTTGCATGAAGTCTGTTTTGGAAAATATCTCCACACCATTGAGGAGCTGACATTTTGTAAAGCCAATTGAGTGTTCCAGCAATCGTCCCTTTTAATTAGTTCCGTACAAATTGCGTCTAACCTTTTAGCAACAATAAAATGGGAGCCAAAAGCCCTCCACGCTCCAGTAGATTGTGGGTTAACTACTTGGTTTGCGACATCCTGAACTGTTTATCTTGTTTTGCAGCATACAGGAGACTCAATCCGGGGTTCAAGGCTTGACAAAATTCTTCCTCCTCTGTGTCATATGGGTGGAGATCCCAAACAACTTTTTTTTTATCTCTGTAACTTATCCCCTGGACTGCACCGCTAGAGGCAAAATTCAGAGATAAATCCTTCTAGAGAAACACAGCTAAATCTATTAAACATTTATTATTGCACATATTCTGGTCATGGATTAAAATTGCATATCTCCTTAGAGACAGATGGTAGAAGAAGCCACCAGGCAATAGCTGTAGGTCAGTTCTGTGGAATGGCGCCACTTTTCACATTGCAAGTGTTATCTGTTGATTTGAATAGTTCATAAATGGTAGTCGAATGTCATGCTGTGGATTATTTGAAGGATGCAATTGGAAAAAAATCCCTTATTTTTCATAATCCATTATTATCTATGTCTCTAACATGACATTTAAATTCACAATCTATGCTAAATTAACAATGAAAGATAAAACGTCTCTGTTGCTTTGTGTGGATTCCAGGAAGGATCAGTCACAATGTATTTATGTTAATATTGTGGGTAAACTGATTTCCATTATCTCAAAACATGCATTTGTGAGTCACTTTGTTTTTCTTTATTGTCAAATATGAGAAACACTTGCTAGATAATAACTTTATAGGCAGCTTTAAGTGATCACAACTTTTTCTTTATTTACAATATCCATCCATCCATCCATTTTCTACCCTTTAATCCATTTCTGGGTCAGGGGGGTGGCAATCAGAGATGCCACCCAAGTCTCATAGCACCAGCCCCTCACTGACCCTCTGCAGGTGGTGAGTCCACAGGAGGACGGCTGCTCTCTGAGTGTGAGCATAGCCTTGATCTTTCAGCGGGGGATTTGGGCAAAGTGGGGTTAAGTGTCTTGCCCAAGGACACAACGACAGCAGTCATCAGTGGGAGTCGGTGGAGAAGGTGTGGAGGTGGGAATTGAACCCACGACCTTCAGGCCTGAAGGCCAGTGCTCTACCAACTGAGCTACTGTCGCCCCTATTTACAATAAATATATATATTTTTTTTTTTTGAAAGATGCGGTGGGAAATTGCTATAGCTCTAAAACAGTTGTTGTTTTGTGCTTAACAATTTTCATTTTTATTGCTTTTCTCTGCCTGAGATGTTGCTGCAGTACAGTGTTCATGGTTTTGCACTGGTCCAGACCAGAGCGGAGAGGATTCATGGTCCGAATCAAGCAGATCAGGAGAAAATCCACTGGAGGAATGATAACTTTTTGAAAAATGCTAATGAAGCATTTAGCATTTTACTTTGGACTAGAGCAGAGAAAATGGTCCGAACCAAGCGGCTACTCCACCTTTTGATCTGTCCTGGTCCACCCAGAGACTACTCCACCTCTGCTGCTGTGAACTGAAGGGCTGTTGCTGATTATTACTATTGTTGTCTTTTTGGAATGATCATTTTTATTTTTATTTTACCTGAATTTCTCCGACTGGGATTAATAAAGTATCTATCTATCTATCTAAAATGTTGGTGATGCCTTCTGTAAATAGCTGTGGTACCTTTGTAACCCTGGGCCTGTGCTAGTCATTATAACTGGTCAGCCAGCAGATTGAAACAAACCAACTCTAAACACTGAGTGACCATGGAGCTTTAAAATCAACACGCTACTGCTCTTGCATACCAATACATTATATTTCAACCTCCTCATGTTGTATGTTCTGTAGCAGGCCGAATAAATACAGATGCAGAAGCAAACACAGAGGCTGCTCGCTGAGGCTGGGATAAATGAACTTTAGCTAACCTGGATAGAAAGGAGCCGACAATAACTGCTCCTGCTCCTGACAGTGTGTGCAAAACCTGCTTTGTGCTCCTCTTGCAGCTCATTAAAGATGGCAACCTGCCACAAAGCAGCCAGTCCCTCAAACGGACAAAGATGAACAACACACACTGTGATATATCCAGAACATTGTGGCTTTACTTCATCGGAAAGAAATCCACAGCTGATGTAAAATATGTGGGTAAACCGTTTAATTTCTAAGCTTCTCTTTCTCTCATCTTTCTCTCCTTTTCTCACTTTCTGGCAAGGTAGAAGTTGGAGACCTGAATCATACCCTCCTGCCTGTCGCTGTCAGAAAAAAAGAATAAATTATCAGTTAAATGGCTGAATATTGAGACACACATCTACTGTACAGTTTCAGGCCATAAAGACACAAGAACACATTTAAAACAATCTCAAAATGCATCAAAGTGAACTATTAATACAGTTTAGCCTAAAATTCTATGGTGCCGTGAAGCACACAAGTGGATAAAAGTGCCTGTCTAGAAAACAGGAGATTCCTGCAAGAATGTTTTGGGTTCGATTCCATGTTGACCTTTCTGTGTGGAGTTTGTATGTTTCTCCCTGTGCGCTCCAGTTGCCCCCACCACCCAAAACATGCACCACAGGTAAAACCCTACAGCCCTGGTAGTCCTCACCCAGCCCAGCATCCACATCTGGAGACATTAATTAACTTTATGGACATTGGTCATCCACCCCCTACGGACCAATGTTATTATTGGATTTACTGTGTTTGAAATGTTTGATTCTCTGATTTGTGTTGGCTAATCGACAACTTTCCATAGTCCACAGAAAAAAACTGATGTAATGTAGGCGGTGCCCGGCGGTGCATTGTGTTGACTTGTAGAAGGAAAGTTTCTCTGCAGGGATAATAAAGTATATCTTGAATGGCATAGCAGGTGATTTCCACCATGAAACATAAATAATGTATATTTGACTATATAATCTCTATCGCTCTATAATCTGCATCTTTTGGGTTTCTCTTGTCACCCCCAATATACAATATTTCAGACCCATTGATATCCAAAGAGGTTATTATTAGATTTGAATGGAGATTCTTGTTTATATGTTGATTATTGTAATTAAATTAAAAGGGTAGTGACACTAACAATAGTTCTGATTTGAAGAAAAAACTTAGATTAGAAACCTCTTACACGTCAGATTGGAGACTTTTGAGGAAGTGGTCGATTTGGCTCTGCGTTAAGTCTCCGTCCAAATGAGCCAGGTAAGTGTAGACCTGCACAAAGGTACTGAAGGGGATCCGGGCAGCGCCTCCTTCCTCATCCTCAGTCAGGATTTCACAAGCAATTTTCAGGGAAGACACCAGTGTCTGTGCAAAAATAAATAATAAAATGTGACATTTTTTTTATATTCATAAAAACATATTTTTCTATGTAACCAGAAGAAAAAACGAAATCATGTCATTGTTGCACTAGTCCTAAGGCTTATTATTAAACATTACCAGTGTTTCCCATTAGAGTGAACCAACTAACCCTATTAAACAATTTCATAGTGAACATTGTGTCATTAAAAACAATACAAGCGTTACTACATTGAGGAAAAGGTGTAGAAAGTGCAAACATCGAAGGTTGGCTTTCCTATTGATTGAATACTGTAAACACAATGCATGCATATGTCACAGTTTAATTACAGTACAATCGTCAATTATTTGTATCATTGTATCAAGAAGTAAAGGTGTGGGTGGGATGCATTGATTTATTATACTGGAGGGTGGGCCTTAGCCTCAGAACATGACTGCCCTCGTGTGGCCATAAGTGACAAACATCTGCACCCATCAGCACAGCATGCATGCCACTGTCTCTTGTGGATGACAGAAGTTTATGTAAAATGTTATATAGATCTTCAATGTGCAAATATGTTAAAACTGAGCTGGTCATTACAACAGTCTGCAGAAGTCAGTACTTTATCACTTGAGGTTTTGGTTATTTGAAGATCAAAGCAAACGTATCTGACGACATAGAAGGTGCGTGGAGGCGCGTCCTTATTTTTGGCATTTACTTGAACGTTGTGAATACTATCGCGTAAGCTGTTTTCCAATAAATTACACACACACAAAACATTCTGCTGAGACACAGACCTAGAGCTTTTGTCATTTTCCTCAGTTATAAAATAAGTATATAGAAACATACCCCGCCTAACGCACTGCAGCCGAGGGCAAAGAAATCCATCCAGACAATATCTGAGCTGAAGTTTCCCAGGGACAAAATGACCTGCATCTGCTCCAAGGGCAGACACAGACCCTTCCACTTCTGCAGGACATCCTCCATGGAGCATGTTTCTGTGGATCCCAGCTAACACAGTGCAGAGAGAAGGGAATGAGTGCAACACACAGTGTAACACACAGTGTAACACACAGTGTAACACATGTCATATACACGTTATTACCTGTCTGTGCAGGGTCTTCAGTAACCCGGGCGTGAGGCCAGTGTCTGTTTTCTGAGTGGCTACATTCAGTTCCAGTCTGTCCTTCACAGGCAGCGCCTCGCCATTAGACAGAGCAGTGAAGTATCTGTTCAAACAAGTCAAACAGTGTATTATCTCTGGTCAAGCTTTACTCATTCATATCTTCATCAAAGTTGTGCAACTTCCGTGATGGTGAATGAAGAACTCACGCTGCAGACCACACCAGAAGGTCCTTGGGTTGGGTCCGGATCGCAGCTTTAGTGAAGTTTTTGAGGATATCTGGGAGTTCTGGGGGGATGTTGATTTGCTGAGAACAATACATTGTGTCCGGAGGAGGCATGGTTAAAACTCAGATAACCTAAATATTGCAGAAAGAAAGGCTTCAATAACTAATACTGTAACTGTAAAGAATCACAGGGAAATATGTTGTATTAATTATCTGAGGGGGTCTTCTGCATTATAAAGCTAAGATCATCTAAGTGCTAGCTAAATCTAACGTTCATCTAACCACATTTGTTTATAAACATCGTCGCTAAGCAACACATTTCTTCTTTTCAAAGCGAACACGAATACAGCTCACTGGCGCCTCTACTGACGAAAGATGCACTTGCAGCAAATAACATCAGATTCATATTTTGTAAACATATGCTTTTTTGTGTCCCCAGACTCAAGGGTAAAATCTACATAATGAATGTCCGATTCATATTTTTTTTTTTAAACATTTATATACCCATGAGTTCAGATCAGTAAATCATTTCATGTGAACTATTGTAGATAGCCACATTGTTTTCATCTAAAGCCGATTATCCAATCAGAAATGTCATTAGGGTTGTCAGTATGAACATCATTCATTCATCTATCGTGTGCACAGAATAAATGCAGGAAAACATTTTAGGAGAAAAAAAACATAGCAAAATGACAAACTGTTCCTGAAGAGGAAAAACAGACTTTATTGACACACACTTAAAAAGTAACGGGACAGCAACAAACCACTAGTTTGTTAAATGAAAAATACATGAAAAGAAATCTGTCAAGCACAACCAATGCACGTTCATCCACGTACAGTGTTAAGTGCAAAGTTGATCTCTTCAGCGAGTGTGATAAAGACTCAAATACACACATTAGAGGACGAAAACTGTTCAATAATTCAGAAAAACCTACACAGAATGGACTGCAGTCTCTTTTACACATCTCTAGTCACATGTTACAAAAATAAAAATGTGTGCTTTCCATCAAACTCACAACCCGTGAGTTTTCAACAACCTGTTCTAAATGTTAAGAAACAATATCTTGAAAATAACTTTTTCCTGGTCAAAAATCCTGTCAAGAATGAAAGTACACTTTGGGGATTTATTAGAAAATAGAATATTCTGCTGCAATTCGTGACATTTCACTTGAGATTGACCAGATGCAGTAATGTAATGAATCATATGATGGGGGAAAAGGAATGCATTTTATGATTTAAAGACACAAATAAGAGATCACATATTGCAATGTGTGATAACTAAGTTTTTGTAATATATTTATTTACTTTATATTGGACACGGACTATCTGAGGTTGTTTCACTACATCCATCGAGATGACATGAAGTGTTTTAACATTTTCCTAATTTTATAAAAACGTTTCGAATGCTTTGGCGTTCGGATTCTGATCCACAATAATCTAGGATTAGACTTTCTCCAGGGTCTATCTCTTTCCCCTTTTATTCCCAGGAGGAGGTTTCTTGAGCTGGAGCAGGGGGCCTCCGGTGCCAAAGGCGGTAGCAGGCTGGTTGGACACACCGAATGTCAGGCCCGCTGAAGGGTTGAGCCCAGGGTTACTGAAGTTAAAGCCTGTGCTGCTGCTGCCAAAACCTACACATGCAAGAAGAGGACAACAATCAATAGCAGAAAACAAAACATTTTGTTAGTTACATCTACGTCTTCTCTAGCGATTCACTATTAACTTCTTTCCTAAGTTAGCAACAAACTAAATCTTGCAGAGATGTGTAATATGACGAGAATGCCAGAGACACAGTGACGTGTACCTGCACTCAGACTGCCTCCTGTGGGCTTACTGGTCGAGAAGGAAAAAGAAGAGCCCCCAGACCCCACCCCACCAAATCCTGGCCCACCACCAAAACCTGTGGATGAAAGCGAGACACAATTATAGGCCAAATGTGCTGAAGTGAAAGAAAAACAGGCGTAAAAGATTATTCTGAAACGACCATAACCACACCACCACATTAAGCACCAAAACAAAAGGTAGACAAAAGGCAGCAAGGGACAGAGGAGAAAAGCTGCAGGAATCACAACCGACCACATCAGCACAGCAACTTCTAAACACTGATCATTGACCCCAAAACCTTTCACAGGCTAAACACTACGTGGGTTATGTGTGAAGCAATGCCATAGACCTATCCTACAGCTAACTTCTTTGCCAGCTATATTTACTATGAGAAAATTAAACCTCTCCAAAAAGCATAACCAAAGAATGAGGGGAAACGGCTTAAGTCACAGAAAAGTGTAGTAATACCTCCCAGGGTGTTAGTGCCCACTGCTGAGGCAAAAGGGTTTCCAAACCCTGCCCCCAACGTGGCCTGGGTTCCTAAGGCACAAAAGAGTTTGCTTTACTCCTCTCATCAAAAACTAAAAAAAATTATGTTGATGTTTCCAGGAATAGGATACAGGAAGACAAAAAAAAGTTTTTGCCATTTCTGGTAAAATCCTGTAAAAATCCAATTGATAAAAAAATAACTAAGGTTGCTAGTTCACTCACTCAGAAACTTGTCCTCATTTGTATCAACTACACTTTCTTCTTGTGGTCATTCTTACATTTCAATGACACGAGGACAAAGCATCTTTGTTCAAAATTAATTTATTGTTAATTGAATAGGCATCAGAAAACACATACAATCACACGATGAAATCTATTAGCTACTTGTTTGACAAGTTTCCCATTTCTTTGAGTGAATGAACTAGCATACGTAAAAGAATCACAATTACTAAATATTTCTTTAAAAAAGGCACACCATATTAAATACTGTGTCAACACAGGCATTGGTTATACAACTTCACACACACTCTGCTACTATAAAAGCACTCTGGTATTGAAGTGAGCAGGTGCTCAGTCATGTACAATCATTGACAAGTCTCATTTTTGGCACAGAACACATGTGTGGCACACTGCACTGTGTTTGGGACCATCCTAAAACCTACTTTAGGAGGTTGTTAAGAGGCAGAAGATCTACAACATTAAACCCGAGAAGTAACCAAGAACAACGTATTGTACAGATATTTCTGGTTTGTATATTGTGCCAGACAACCTTTATATTTATCTTACCCAATTTGTCTGATGTTAAAAAAGACAAATTGTGATGTAGATCAAGTACCAGTACTTCTTAACACTGATCGGTAGCGATGCAATACTGCATTATTTTAGCATTCATTTTTTGGATGATGAATAAATTAAATAAAAAAAAACTATAAATTATACATTAATAAATAATGGCAAATCTGCTAGTTTGCCTTTGTCCATACAGAGGCATCAATTCAAAATAAGATAGATCAACAGCAGTTGAACCCTTCATTGTAAAAAAGGTCTTTGTCCAGCCCCAATACTGCCAGTACCTTTAAAAGGCAGTACATACAGCAAATTTGAGGTGATAAGATGGACATTGGTAGCTTTGCATTACAAATAATTAATGGGTTTGGTTCCTCATGACTGGAAAACAAACTTTGGCACTCCACTCCTCAGAAAGGCCCATATATAATAATACCAATACCACGCTACACTGTGAAGCAAGATCGACCGAGAGACTAACAGCCATTTGCCTGTTTTGTCTTGAAAACACATGGTTCATACAAATTATAATGCTACAAGAAACACTTCAATTAAACCACTATTATATCTGTCATTTCACAATGGTTTGAAATATTGCTAGAAATTAATTTTGAATCCAGACCTCACATTTGTCCCCTCATTTGTCAATAAAAGAATTGTATATCAAATAATGGGTGGCTATATTTCAAATGTGACCGCGTAAAAAACTCAATGTTTTTTGGTACATCGGTTGAGTTTGATAACCTCTTCTTGAATGCAGACTGTTGGGAATGCAAAAAAGTAAAATAAAAAATGCTGGCTACAACAAAAACAAATTGATAGGGTAGTAATAACTGATCAGCAGTCATTTCCCAAAAATATTTGGAACCTTCGGGACCAATAATGCAAGATATGAACATGTCCACAGAGAAAAGACTACATTCAAATCAAACATTGATTTGACGAAGCATTTAAATGTTGATCATATCCCCAAACAAAAAAAATATGGGACTTCAAAAATTCAAGTGTAGATTAAAAAAAAATCAATCTAGTCAAATGTAAAATTTAGTGAATACAGGTGTAAATACTGGAGTCTGTATGAAATGGACTGACAGCAAAATGCCCTAAAGCCTTTCCCTTAAAATAGGAAAATAAATCACACAATTACTTCAATTAAAATGTATTTATAAACTAGTGAAAGCTTGAAAGAAGTATAAACTTCTAAAACTTGTAGGCAGTCAGACCTGGAGTTGGCTGCTGTTGTTGAGTCAGTGTAGCAGCCATGGCGACCGCTGCAGCATTGGGCACACTGGAGAAAGGGGCGGGGCCAGTGGTCACTCGTGGTGCGTTCTGCCATTTCCTGTTGGACGCACGTTTGGACTCAAAAACGTCAGTGGAGTCTTCCAGGAAAGCGCGTCGATAGGAAAGATACTGATGCTTTAGGACCTGTGACAAAAAGTATTTCAGAAATCCTCCAGACATCATCTAAAAAGACTGGGGAGACACTGACCTTCACGTTCTCATGGACATTTTGGAGTTGGGCAGCCTGTGCAACAAAAGTCTGATAGAGCTTTTGCATAGCCAGCGTCAAGTCTGCAAGAAAGAATAAAATATATGGCCACCATTAGTGACACACAAAACAATTGTTTCATGTTCATTACATCTCTCTTTACCTTGCGGTGTAATGTGAGAGCCACTGCCTTGTGTCGTCAAATGATTCTCCAACTCTTCTATTTGTTGCCGATACTGCTGCAACTGTACCTCAAACTGCTCGACGAGGCTACGGAAATAACTAAAAACCATGTGTAAATAAAAAAGACATTGTGTTGTATTAAATATTATAATGTAGACAAATTTTTGTGGGCACTTACTCGGAAGGTGCGGTGTTTTCATGTTGAAGTCCAGGTGGAGTTTTTTGTGTGCGTAATGCTATGTCAGCATTCTTCAATTCCTTAGAAAGAACGCCAAAATAAAGCACTAGAAAACTGAAAACTTCACAATATATACGACAGCAGCACTTACCTGTGCAGTTTCTAATTTTAACTTGTCGATGGCCAAAGCTTGCCGTTGAAGACCACTGGAGCTGACTGAGAGGAGCTGCTTCAGACTCTTGATGTCATCTTGAACTTTAGTGATGGCTTTGGACGACATTCGACTGATGTCTTCCTGAACTTGTTTCTGTTCTTTAACAAATTTTCTGCAAATTCATAAAAATACATGTTTACCCGATGCTGAGGCTATTGGTCATACAAACACAATTTTCTTGAGTACTTACTGAAAGTTTTCAGCATCCTGACAAATAGGTGGTGGCAGATTCTCATCTTTTAAAGCTTTACTGTCCCTGAGAAAGACATTACTGTGAGATAATGGTTTAATGGAATACATTCTAAATACAAAATCCAGATGTTAAGTAGGACTAGGTTTGACACTTTTATACTATAGTTTAAATTAACTATTACACCACAAGACAATAATATAGATTCAAATTACTTCAAAATAAAAATAAAAACACACATAATATAACAATAGACACTTGTGAACCACCAAAAGGGGCTCATATACACATACCAATGCTAGGAAAACATAAAAAAACTGACTGTGCATTTCCTCCAGAGAGTGTGTCGTTCTTATTTTCAGATGACGTGCTGAAGTCGACACCACCAAGGCCTAAACTTGGAGCAGGAGCTGCTGTAGAGGTAGCTAAAAGTGAGCCAAGCGTTAGTCCTGCACCTCCAAGTGTAGTCTGTCCCAATCCTACAGCAGATTAAAACAAATTCCAGACAATAATTAAAAAGAAACATGAAAAAGATTGGTTCTTTGTAAACAAATGTGTGATACCTAACCTGTTGATGCTGCACTTGAGAATAAACTTCCCCCGAGTGATGGGATAGTTGCAGCTGCAGCTGTGGTAGTGGTGCCAAAACCAAAGCTTGCTGCCCCAGGCTGCTGTGGCGCAGTGGAGGTCAGGATAGAGCCAAATGATAAACCTGCTGCAACTGGAGCCACCGTGGATGCGGTAGATGGGGTTGTTAGAGAAAAAGGTGCTGCTTGGGCGGTTGGCTTATTGAAAGCAAGACTAAAGCCAGTACCAACAGATGGGGCTGCTGTACCTAAAGAAGTAAAAGAGGTAAGAATTAAGCATTGGCATTGCAAAATTATGTATACACTTTCATCATACAATAGGTTGTTTATGTGACAACATAACATTCAAAATAAGCTATTATTTGAAATTGTGGTGGAAGGCAGCTGAACAAAATCTTACTGGCAACTATGGTAAGTGTCAAGTGTCTTGTCTTAAAAGTGTATAGAACTGTTGGCAATATAGGCAATGATGTCAGCCAGTAGAAAGTACTTTGACATTTAATATGGTAGGTTTGTGAATTTTATCACTATCAAAAGATTTATTTCCTTTTCAAAATGCTTCTCTCCCATAAAGTTGTATTGGCACATGCCCTTTAACTGAAATAGAAATTACACATCATGAACGCAACTTATTGATAGAAAATCATAATGTTACTTGTTGCAGGAGTATTAAAAGACAATCCACCAGCTGGTTTTTGCCCGAAAAGACTGCCTCCAAGGCCCAATGACGGGGTGCTGGTTGTGGGAGCTGGTGCTGCTGCTACTGTTCCCAAACTGGTCCCAAAGGTTGAAGCAGCAGCGGGTGCACTGTAAATAAACAATATAAAGCATTACACAGTATGCTTTGAACAATGCGCATGTAGTATGGCAGAAAGGTATTGTATGTTAAATCAGCCAACGATGAATGTATGATTGACCATTAACATGTAACTAGCTACATAGTTAGTCTACAAGCATAAATTAGAAAGCTTCACATGCTATGTATGTCAAGGATCCACTAGCATACTGCCATCTCTAACTTGTAGCAGAAGTTTACCTGGTAGCAGCAGCAGAGCCAAATGAGAATCCTCCGCCTGTGTTTGTGGCCCCAAAAGTCCCCGCTCCAAAGTTAAAGCCAGACATTTTGCAAGATAGTATTTTGGATCAATCAATAAATGATGGCGAAGTACATCGAAGCCACGCACTAAGACATTAACAGCATATTTGCTAACAAGCTAGTTGCGTGTTAGCATTGGCATCCGCGCGTGCGGGCCATTCTTGCGCTTTCGAGCTAACGTTAGCGGAACTAACCGCATGAGAAAAGGCACTTCAAAGACAAAGACGTCACAAATATGAATCCCCCAAAAGAAAGGTTTAAGAACAACAAAACAGTAATATAAACAACCCAAAATCAAGGCACACGCTTTGGCATGGTTTACATTTCCTATTCCCCGCCTGTAGTTTTACCCAAACGCATTTTGGGTAATCTAGTTACAACTACAACTCCCAGAATGCAGCGAGCATCATGTGATCTATCGCGCATGCGTTGGCTTTATTGTTAGGCGACGTTGATTTAACGTCGTAAAAATGTATTATTCTTCTCCAATCTGGGCACAACTTTCAAAATAATTAACAATATTCAGATACATATAAATAGTCAGCTCAGAGAGTGATAAATAAGGGAAAATATTTACACATTAAACCAATGATGAAGTCCAACTTATTTTGAAATCGAGGATAGAGTTGTGTTTTTACCTGAGGCTTGACGCGGATGAAGATGACAAAATAACTCGACAATAAACACTTATTCACGGCCATCACCAAAGTGGTGTGTGAAGACTTATCAATGTTACTCATTTATTTGGACAGCGGTGCTTGATCTTTTTTCATCAGTGACAACTGTTTTTGTTGTGAAAATGGAACATATCCGGACGCCAAAGGTAGCTAACATTTGCAGCAAGTAGGCTGGGTATAGACCGCCGCACAGCACGGCCTAAACCGGTGCTTTTAACCTCTGAAATGCGTTTTTGAACCCAAATGACAGTAGTTATCTTGTATTTAATCTGAAAACTGATGTCAGTATGGTGACAAGCAGGGGTACAAAACAAACTTGGAGCGTGACGAGCATCATCATCACCATTGGTGGTCTCCGTCTGTATTAGGAAGATACATTTAAAACCACTTTTTAATTACTATAGATTATGCTTTGTTGTCAAATTGATATATGTTATGGCTCGTCTGTGAAAGGATCATCAATGTCAATGACCATAAATGTAACTCGCCGCGATTGGCTTGATTAAAAATAGCCTAATGTCTATTATCACATATGTATATTATATACTATATATTGCCACTTTGCACATGTTGGAGACTGGCGTTTATACGAGTCAGACGTAAACCACACCTACAGATTATATTGAATGTCAGAAGGCTTTATTGGATCTAAACCCTGATTTTGGGATTATAAACTTGTTTGTATTTTGTCTGATGGGAAAGCACATAATATCGCTGGCCGCATTAAAACTATTTGACTAAATGATACAGAATATAAAGAGAAGCACTGTAAAGCTCTACAAAATATAGAATTGAGTGATATTCAACGTCCCTCAACGACTAACATGAAAACATTGTGTTACAGTGCTACTTTTTGCATGTATTTGCATGGTTGCTTTTCAACAGAGATAGTGAACTCTTTTTCATGATATCCGTAATAGGCCAAAAGGAAGAAGGCCACAGAAAGGAAGGGGATGTCTGACTCTGCAAGAAACCACTGTTGTTGCAAACAGAACATTTGTAATAACTGTGTGTTAAGATTTGAAGTTTGAGAAGTTTATGCTTGTGCACCTACTGCTGACTGGGACTTTCCATGTATCTGTTCTAACTTGTGACTTTAATTAATGTTTAACTAACTCTTTATATCCACGTTTGTTTGAGAAAGTTTACGATGTGGTCACAAATTGTGTAAACCAGAAGTACTAATTCCTATTAAATAATAATAAAATAAAAAAAATCAATAGTGTGGCTATGTCATTGTGCAGGTGGAGCAGGTGCGTCTGATGGATCGTTTCAGCAACAAATCAACAAATGGCACTCTTTACCTAACTGCAACACACTTAATTTTCGTAGAGAGCTTGAACAGCTCGTCCACAGCTGCTCAGGAGATCTGGGTAAGAGTTACTGTGTTCAGATTTTGCATATGCACAATGTTCTACATAAAACAGTACCTCTCTTTTTCAGATTTTGCATCATCATATAGCCTCAGCGGAGAAGTTATCATTGACCACCACAGGCTGCCCTCTGGTCCTCCACTGCCGCAACTTCAGACTCGTTCATTTTGTTTTCCCAAGAGAACGAGACTGCCATGACATTTATAGCTCTCTGCTACGCCTACTTCGCCCTGGTATATTTCTATATAAAAGGACATATTTATCCGTAAACGTGTAGATAATCATATCTAACCCATTCTTTTCTAGTGTCTTATGAGGAGCTCTATGCCTTCTCCTACAACCCCAAACAGAATGATCAGCAGAGGGAGGAGGGCTGGCAGCTTATCGACCTGAGGGCAGAGTATGAGAGGATGGGGGTCCCTTGTGACCAGTGGCAGCTCACTGATGTCAACAGAGATTTTAAGGTCAGTACTTCTGAATTATTTCTCTGTGAATACATATCTGCTATGCTTGGAAATGTCTTATCTCATAGCCATATCATCATCATCATGTCACCAAACATCATTATGTTTAGTGACAATACAATAATTTTTCCCACCAAATTGCAAACTCTATTTAAATTTATAGAATTCAAATAGTTATTTAAATTCTATAAATAACTATAATTTCTTATTCTTAAAGGTGTGTGAAACATACCCACGTGACTTGTACGTTCCAATCACAGCCAGTAAGCCCATCATTGTTGGAAGCTCCAAGTTCAGGAGTAAAGGACGCTTTCCTGTTCTCACTTACTTTTACCAAGAAAGGAAGGTAAATATTTGTGTTTTTATGTTTGTGGCTTGAGCTGCCGTATCGATCACTTGTCCCACTGGTCAGGCCGCAGTGTGCCGGTGCAGTCAGCCTCTCTCCGGCTTCAGCGCTCGATGCTTGGAGGATGAAAGCATGCTGCAGTCCATCAGTAAAGCCAATCACAACAGTAGATTTATCTATGTCATGGATACGAGACCAAAGGTATCGAAGCATTATACTATTTCTATTTCAAGTCCACAAAATGAGCTCTTTTATCTGTTTTTTTTGCAGTTGAATGCATTAGCAAACCGAGCAGCTGGTAAAGGCTACGAAAACGAGGACAACTATTCCAACATACGCTTCCAGTTCGTAGGCATCGAAAACATCCATGTAATGAGAAGCAGCCTACAGAAATTACTAGAAGGTAATATTTTACTTTTCTACTTCTAAAAGATTGCATTTTTTATCATGTAATTTTGATTATTTTATTTATTCTATGTGACTTTTTGTGACGAGATTTTTCTCTTCATTTACAGTGATAGGAACACGGTCTCTCACAATGAGCGACTATCTTGTGGGATTGGAGGGCTGTGGCTGGCTACGACATATTAAAGCCGTTGTAGATGCAGCGGTATTTTTAGCCCAGGTACCATTTTCTGCACCATTGTACATAACAGTTGTCTATACATGATGTTATTGGTTATTTTTCTGCTCTGTCAATACATAGGCAGTGACAGTTGAAGGTGCCAGTGTCTTGGTTCATTGTTCAGACGGCTGGGATAGAACTGCCCAAGTCTGTGCTCTGGGCTCTTTGCTAATGGACCCCTACTACCGTACCGTCAAAGGATTCATGGTAACCAAAACAGTTTAGATTGAACTAAAATGAAACTAAAATGTACTTTACTTTCATATCTACTGTCCACTACCAGGTGTTGATTGAGAAAGACTGGATCTCCTTTGGTCACAAGTTTGCTGACAGGTAAGACTTTTTTTTCTATCTTTCTTTGTTTTGTGTGCTTGCATTAAACATTGTATTATTTTCTAGGTGTGATCAGTTAGATGGAGATCCAAAAGAAGTGTCCCCCATCTTCACGCAGTTTCTTGAATGTGTCTGGCAGCTCACTGAACAATTCCCCCAAGTATAAATGTTATTACAGGATTATTGTACTGTACTGTTGTTGTGTCATATTATCAATCTAAATGTACGTTTTACATTTTTCAGGCATTTGAGTACAGCGAATGGTTCCTGCTGCAGATTCATGAACATGTTCATTCCTGTCAGTACGGAAACTTCCTTGGCAACAATGAAAGACAAAGAGAGGAACTACAGTGAGTCCTGAAATATATTATTATGTCTGAAAAGCTTCACCATTTGTATTGTATGTCCTTTTTATCTTTAGAATGTGGCTATTGTGACAAAAGTTTATTATATCTATATTTTTCAATCTTTAACCTATGTTGTACATTTTTATCTAGGCTGAAAGAGCGAACCCATTCCTTGTGGGCATTCCTCTTTGGTGAAAAGCAGAACTACTTAAATCCTTTCTACAATCCGACTTACAATGAGGAGCACCCAGTCCTGGAGCCCTCTACACTGCCCTACCATTTTAAGTATGTAAAGTTGACTTTATTACTGATTCGTTGACTATGATTCAGTGTCTGCAGGGGAGGTTATGTTTTCAAAAGGGTTTGTTTGTTTGTTTGTTTATTAGTTACTTAGTTGGGAGCAAATACATTTCTAGAAATAGGTTATCTAGGAAATGGGACAACGAACCAATGATTTGATTTTGGAGGTGATTCGGATCATTGTCTGGAATCAGATTTTTTTTTTTTTTTTTTTAAGGAATGGAACAGCAGTTATGTTTGCATACTGTTATTAATTTGTTCAACTGTGTGTTTTCTAAGATTCTGGAGGAACATGTACCATCAGTTTGATCGATCCATGCATCCACGACAGTCTATATTAAAGACTATTCTCACTCTGAAGGAGAAACACGACAAAGCAGAGAGCACACTGCAAGCTCTGGAGAAGGTAAGTCAAAAATGTAACCAGAAAATTACATCCAAAAATATAGAAACCTAGAACTTATAACACAAAAATGACAAAACTTTTTACTTTTTATTTCAACTTTTTATGGCCTCACAAATGTACAAATAGCTTTAAATATGTCTATCCATCCATCCATCCATCCATCCCATTTTCTACCCTTTAATCCATTTCTGGGTCAGGGGTGATGCCACCCAAGTCTCATAGCACCAGCCCCTCACTGATCCTCTGCAGGTGGTGAGTCCACAGGAGGACGGCTGCTCTCTGAGTCATAGCCTTGATCTTTCAGTGGGGGCTTTGGGCAAAGTGGGGTTAAGTGTCTTGCCCAAGGACACAACGACAGCAGTCACCAGTGGGAGTCGGTGGAGAAGGTGCAGAGGTGGGAATTGAACCCACGACCTTCTGGCCTTAAGGCCGATGCTCTACCAACTGAGCTACTGTCGCCCCTTTTAAATATGTCTAGATATCGTTAAATGTATAGTATTTATTTTTCTATATTATTGCTATTATTGTCATTATAAGACTGTAAAATCTCTGAGAATCTCCTCTTTTTTGCTCATTGCAGAGGCTCCATCAGCTTGGTGTCACCCCTGTTGTGAGTTCTGACCCTACCGCACTTCCTACGAGAGACCAGCGCTCCAACCCCAAGGCTCTGCCCCCGCGCCCCGACTCCATCATCCTGGGGGCTCCGGTCAGCCACAAAGAGGAGCAGCGACTGGAGGAAGAGCAAGAAGAGGTGGGCGAGGAGGCCCTGGAGAGCAATGACAGCGAGCGGACAGTAGAGGGCAGCAGCGGCACAGACAGCAGGAAACAAAGCTACGGGGAGTTAGAAGGGACGTACAACGAGATGGCCAAGGAAGAGCCTGCTGTTGTGAGTCTGGAGTTTGGAGTGGCGCGCATGACGTGCTGAAAACATATCTTGGGGGTTCTGGGTGGACTTAACATTAGAGACCAAGTCAAAAGCTTTTGATCTGTGCGTTTTGTTTAGTCCAAATCTATATGAAAAAGCATCATTATGTCATATACTGCACCTGTAGGAAAAGCTTGTTTTTTTATCAATGTAAAAATCACTATTGAAAATTTAAGAGTATCGGAAGAGAATAAATCCTTCTGGAAAATCTAATCTTGTTTGTTTGCCTTTCTTTTTCAATATTATGTTACACTTCCTCTTCTGTGCTCTGTTGTTGAATTATCTGCTCTGTAGTTGAGGAAGCGACAAGTTTGCCAAGTCCTTCGAGACGGCTGCTGTTGTGATGTGGGGCTGTGCAAAAATAGATTGACTTGAATGTTTCAGGGCTGTAGTCGACCCACTTGTAATAAAGTAATTTAATCCACGTCACTGGTACGTCGATTAGATCTGAAAACTGTTTGGTATAAAGATATCAAAAATAAGATCCAGACAGTTATAGTCTGATTGACAAAATGTTACTTAAACAAGACTCTTTCTCTTGGGACAGACTGAAAAAAAGTTAGGTGCAGCTTTAGAAATCATATCCTTTGACAGGAGCAGCTTGAAAAACATTATACTTTGGTACGTCCTTGAACCTGAAGTTACCCTGAGATTAGTTACCGGAGAGATCTTTTCGACAACGGAAAACTCACTTGAAGTAAATGTACACCAAAACCAGGCCTCAGATTGTTGCGGCGTTTTTAGTGGATGTCCAAGGTCCCATTGATCAAATAATCTGACACACTAATGCTTATTGATTTCCAAATTGATGTATAAAAATATGAGCACCCAGATGTTTTATGACAGCTGACCCGTTTTTGGGGACGCTGTCAGTGAAAACATGTTAACATGGTAAATTACACAACAAACAAGGTTTCGTCTTTTAAATTACTTTATACTAATAAGTAGATTATTTGAGCATAATGGGATATTATTTGAAACTGCCTTGCCAAAAAGATAATTTATTTATGAAGCACCAGTCATGCAGAAGCAACTCAGCGTGCTTCAAAGACACAGAAAGAACATAGATAAACAATAAACAATAAATCATACCATTTACATTTTTTATCTGAAGCTGTTAATAAATGTAATTACAAAGATATTAGGTAACTTTTTCCCAGAGAAGCTGCATCCTTGGCATCTTGAACTTTATATATATAGTGCATGGGTGTGTAAAACTGCACAACAATGACTGCTATTCACTTTCAACATTTGTGTGTTTTTAACAAAGCTGTTTGTTTTGGGACATCGGCGTCTGCGGCCATACTCCAATCATCTAGAATAACTGGATTCCTTTCATGAGCTACAGCGAGTTTTTATTGAAATTTACAAAAGCAGTAACAGTGGCTTATGATGGTTTCATTTGCATAATTTCCACTGCATTACAAAATATCTAGTTCTAGAGAATCATTTGCATGTTTTAGTTTAACTCTACAACAGAAGGAAGTAAATATTCGTTTTCAAAATCTCCATTTGGAAACAATGAAATAAAAGCAAAACACAATTGATTTAGTGCAAGAACGAAGTGTATAGTTCATAGAAGTGATAGATGTACATTTTTGTATAACAAAAACAAAACAAACTTGTATAAACAAGTTTGAATTCAAAAGAATTTTAAACAATTGTTGTAAAAGGGGTGGGTAAGAATGTACACTTACAGTATTTAGCCCCACCACTTTCCCACGTTATTTTTCACGTCATTTCCTGTGAGTAGTATTCTTGCTTCATGAAAGTTCACTGATGCTTCCTTTCTTGAAGCACAAGTACACTTGTTTTTGTATCTTGCTTCTTATGAAAGATGCAAAACCCTCTTGGGACAAGTGGTGGAGGGCACTCTCAGGCTATTAATCTTTTATCGAGGTATGGTATAGTCCTTTCTATATATATATATATATATATATATATATATACACATACATTATATATATATATATATATACTGTATATAAATAAAAATTGCAACATTCATCCTCCGCAGGCGGTTATCCTTCTCTACACTCGGGTCTTCTACCAGAGGCCTCGGGGCTTGCTGTTCTTTGCTGTTCCTAGCACTGCACATTTCTGGACCAAAATTTCAGGTTTCTCATTTAGACCTCGGGGTTTCCAGCCCATACTCTGCACAGATTATGGGCTGGACACTGTGTTCCTGTACACTATACCAGCCACTTGATATGCAGTGTATACGCTGTTGTTGTAATGTTTAATTTTTATCCAATCATCACTGTGGACAAACAATAAAAACTTATAAAGGGATAGTAAATAAAATTATAAACATGTAAATAATTCTCATTATTTTTCCATACCTACAAATAAATCAAAGAATATAATTTGAACGCCAGTAATTAAATAATCTCTATTTTCAAAGAAAAAATAATTTGCAAACTCACGTTGTTTTATTGATAATGTAGTGATCTTCAAGTAGTGATCTTAGTCAAGTAGTGATCAAGTGATCTTAGTCACAACTTGAAAATGAGGTTGGGCGACTTCCAGTAAAAGACCCATCTTTGACAAACACAAGGATTGGAATGCACGGCTTAGTGTGTGTTTGTAGAGTTTATGGAACATTGAGAACCAGTCACAGTAACACATGCTTATATTGTGTTTTACTCTTTTAGGAGGTTATATAACTCTTGCTGAATTATCCATTGATCATAGGCAGTGTTGGGGAAAATGTACTTTACAGCATACTGAACACCTGTTTTCAAAAAATAAATGCAGAATTGGATGCACTTCAATTATGGTTTGGTTTGATTATCACCAAATTTAGTTCATATTGTTTGGGAATGAAACAAATGACGGCATCAATGTCAAGTTAGATGGAAAACTATTGAAAAAGTAAATCAAAGATAGTTTTTAGGGGTTTTAAAAGATTAAATCTCACATTAGTCACATGAAGGGAAAAGTATATCAGTATATCAGTGATAAATCAGGCAATACAGTTTATAAATAAAACATCTCTTTACACACTTTACTCTTTGCTAGTTTTTATTACTTACTGTGTTACGAGGAAATAACTATCATTCTACACTTCAACCTTTTTTTGTGTTGCAAGAGAAATATTACGTATAATAATAAACATGTATATCTCATGGTGCAAGGTTTAAGGACCACATCACCTTTTTAGATATTGTGGAATATTATGGAATATTCAACAACACAAATTGTGTTCATGGCAAAAAAAAATGCATTTTGTCACTCCACAACACTCTCTTCACACATCTGAGCACTGGCAGTGTGTGTTTAGGTCATCTTCAAGGAATGTCGTTCAACTTATAATATAAATAATATAATATAAATATAAAGCACACACAGAAGAAAATGCCCATACATGTTGTAAAATGCTAAAGTGTCCTGGATCATCACCAATCCTTTCTGTTGGACACTAACTGTCCAACAAGACCCTCCTGCATCGACAAGGAAAAACTCTTAAAAAACCCAGTGGGAAAAAGTGAGAAACCTTGGGGAGAACTAGGGAAACCCACAGGGAGGGAGACCCATTTGAGAACACACTGCTTCCCTTGTGACTTTGTAAAAAAAAAAAAAAAATGTGAATAATGATAATAAAGTAATCTTCTGGTGTTTTATATATGTAATTGAAGGAGTTATTGTGAACATCAGAAAATGTGCCTTTCTAATACAAACAGACACACCAAAGTATATCATGACAACAAGATATGATCGACCCCACAGGGGTCGATCCTGGGACCTCTCCTATTTAATCTCTACATGCTGCCGTTAGGTCAGTTAATACAAAGAAACAAAGTGTCCTACCACAATTACGCTGACGACACTCAGATCTACGTCTCACTGACTGCAGGAGAACATGGACCACTGGATTTGCTCCTTCACTGTATCCAACAGATCAGTGACTGGATGCAAAATAATTTCCTCCAGCTAAATACAGACAAAACCGAAATCATTGTCTTTGGTCCCCAGAAACAAAGAGAGGGCGTCATTTGTCAACTTCAGTCTCTCTCCCTACTTCCTTCAGACAAGGTCAGAAATTTGGGGGTAATACTGGACTCAGACCTAAATTTCAATAGCCACATAAAATCAATAACATCAACAGCTTTTTACCATCTGAAGAACATTGCCAAAGTTAGAAATATAGTGTCCAGGGCAGACTTGGAGATTCTTGTCCATGCATTTGTCTCCAGCAGGCTAGACTACTGCAATGGCCTGCTTACAGGTCTGTCCAAACAGACCTGTAAGCAGCTGCAGTACATCCAAAATGCAGCAGCTAGAGTCCTGACAGGAACCAGGAAGTATGACCATATTAGTCCGGTCCTCAGGTCTCTGCACTGGCTTCCTGTGGCTCAAAGAATAGATTTTAAAACGGCTCTGCTTGTGTACAAGTCTCTCCATGGCCTTGCACCAGAATACATTAGTGACATGTTGGTGTCATATGAACCGGCCCGGACTCTGAGGAGCACAGGGACTGGCCTCCTGCTGGTGCCCAGAGTGAGAACCAAACATGGGGAGGCTGCGTTTCAGATCCATGCAGCTAAGATCTGGAACAATCTCCCTGAAAATGTGAGGGAGGCGTCTACTCTGTCAATGTTCAAATCCAGGTTAAAGACTGTTCTGTTTGCCTGTGCATACAACTGAAGGATTTTATCTCCATTTTTAATGCACTGCTGTCATTTATTTATTTTTTTAAATTTCTTGTGTAATTTTGAAAGTTTTAATGGTTTTATTCTTTTGTGTGATTTTAATGTTTTAATTGTGTTTTAATCTTTTGTGTGATGATTTATGATGTGGACTGTGAAGCGCTTTGTGTTGCCATGTGTATGAAAGGCGCTCTACAAATAAACTTTGATTGATTGATTGAAATCCCGAGGCTCAACACTATTGTGAAAGCGCAAACAGCACGATCAGCACAGAGGCAGGAGTGAACTACAGGACACACCCCAGCAGAAGGAGAGTGAAGATGTCCTCTGACTGTCCCACTTAGAGCTCCACTCAGGGGGGTGTAATGGAAACCCCATTTAGACAGATGGAGAGTGGCCTTGATTGTTACACGGTGTGTGTAAGCGTGTTGGATGTATCGCTGACACTTTTATTTTGTTAAGTTAATTCTGTGTACATTGTTTTTTAGTAACATCATCTGTTACTAAAAAACTACCATTAACTTTGCTGGCAACGTTTTTTATAAATAATACATGGTGTGTGTCTCAACAGAAAGAGTGAAAGTAAAATCTAGTGAACATTAGACCACATGCTTTCTTCATCTTATAACAATAACAAAAACATTATATTTTGCAAATGTGTAAGATAGAGCGTTAAGAGTTATGATTTGATGCTTTTGGTTGAGAGCTTATTGGTGGAACGAGGGTGGTCCTGGTCCTCTCTTTTTAATGTGATGTGACAAAGGCCAAAAATGCATAAATGTGAAAATATATGTCAGTATTGTACCCAGCAATACTGTGAGGAATCTTGGAGTCCTTTAAGGTTTTGTTAAGTCCTCTGAGATTACTTCTGTTGTGATTTAGGGCTATACAAGAATAAATTGTATTGTATTGTATTGTATAACAAAACTGTTTTGAGAGCAAGGAATGAGAATTTATGACATAGTTCAAATTACAGTGGTTTGAAAGTCAGGTTGTCCAACTTTAACTTTTAGGGGGTTACACATGTTTAATTCACCAATAAAAGAGTAAAGAAAATAATTGAATGGTAGACCATTTATACGCAGGCACAGGTGGCTCCAACTATATTAAACAGTAAACCCCCTCAAGCAGTTGGCCGCCCATTGTCTCATTATGTAGAAACTGAAGCCACTCATGAGTAACCTCTGCTGGTCCAGTGGCCATCTGCTCCACTGTCATATCCAAGTTCACCAGTCAAACGTCTACCTCTATGTAGTGCTATCATACGTATTTTTATGTTTTTTTGTTGTTCTTTTAAAAAAAAAAGCAAATACAACTTCTGTCCCACAAAAAATAATGACTAAGTTAATGCCCAGGCAGTAAACAGTGACATAATCCCGGGGGATATCCTTGTGTGTGTGTGTGTGTGAGTGTCTTGAACTGTGGTTGAGGGGGGCTATGGTGGATGAATGCGGACATTGTTTGCTCAAGTTGTGCTGCAAGACGAGAGCTATAGCCCAGCAATAACATCGGCAATAAGCAATGACAGAGTTAGTGAAGGAAGGATGGAAGAAGGGGAATGGAGGCAGAAAGTGGGTCGGGGTACCAGGGAGACTTAGTTGGGGGGATGGGAAGAAGAGGCTGCAAAAAGAACACTAACACTGGATGAGACACTTCTGAGTTAGCAATAAGGCAGGCATATATCTTACTGTCAAACTAAGATCAATGTTGTCAATACATATTGATTTAATTATTATAATGGGCTTATAATCTAATAAAGTATATAGACAATCCCGTCAACTAGTCCTACTTCTGCATTGATATTTTTGTATTGAGTAAACATTTTGAAGGTTTTGGAGAACTAAAAGAGTGCATGTCTGCGTGAAGCCCATGGAAAGCACAAAGCCATATTGCAGCCCACGCTGTATTGACGGCTGCTCAGAGGTTGTCTGAGTTTGCATCACGGTGCTGAAACAGTTGTGTTAAATCCATAATCCTTTGATACTGCTGATCATCAGTCTTTCATTGACTCATCCAATCCAACCCTTAGGATAAACAAATGCAACTGTATATGGTGTCATTTGTATATTTAGAAGTCTACCCCTACTGGCGCATTAAATTATATCAGTTAACAAGACATTATTCTGTGTTTATCTGTATCATATATAATGAAATAATGTATGATACTTGAATATCATACAAGGACAGGATAAAAAAGGCTTGTGTGAACACCTTTAAAATTAAACATATGGAAGACAAGTTAAAAGAATGAAAAGGTGCACAAGTTTGATTTTGATGAACAGTTGCACACAACAGTCCTGGTGACAGCATAGGTAGGGTGTTAAAGGATGGGGGAGGGCGTGCGGGACAGGCCTGGAGCCCCGCCAACACTGACGAAAGCAGCTTAGCCCACCCAGTTGCTATGGATACAGTGAGCAGCAGCACCCAGCATGTGAGTGTTTGGTGCTCCTGCAGGAGAGGGAGGGTGAGGTAGAAAAGCAGTGGGCAGGCGTAGGAGAAGTCAGAGTGGGAGTGAGAGCTGGAGACGCAAGAGGAAAGAGGGAGTGTGTGTGGAGCGGCTGCAGAGAGTGGGAGAGAGGGAAAAAGCTGAATAATGGAGGTGCAGGCGGACTGTCTGGAGCCCCCCACAGCTCCGCAAACAGACCCACAGCCAACAGGAAGGATCAACAAAGCTGCCTTCAAACTCTTCGGAAGGAGGTCTACTGGTTCTGGAATGGCGAGCTTCTTTTCTTTCCGAAACAAAGGAGCTACAAATATTGGAGCCAATGGAAATTCAGACAATGGGAGTTCATTGAACGGGAATGGATCAGCTGCATCAGTTGATCTTGTTAGGAGCAAAACACACGATGGGCTAACAGACTCAAACAACGACGCGGAGGCACGGCCAGGGGAGGGACATGGAAGCATGGAGGCGGTGCCCGTGAGGTCTCTGAGCAAATCGTTCAGCTTTTTCTCTTTTCTCAGACGTGGGAGCTTTAGATCAAGTGACAATGGGGGGGCGGGATTTGTACGAAGAGGGAGGGGCCTCAAGGGGTTCTTCAGCAGCATGCGATGGAGGCGTAAAGAAAAAACAATCGAAGGAGATGTGGAGGATAAAGATGGACGTACAGAGAAAGCTGAGGAGATTCCCGATTGTGAAAATGATATCACTCTTACCCTTGAGCCACCTCCTCCACATCATGCCCAGGAGGATTGTGGGAATACAACAGAGCAATCTGATAAGCATGCATCAGGGACCCCAACCACAAGTGTTACCATGACACCCCAACACTGTGTTGCCATGCCAGGCCCATCTGGTGTGCCAGACAGCAGCTTCCCTTTCACGCCCACTGACTCGCCACTTCATCCAGCCATCCCGAAAACCAAAGCCTCCATTTCCAGCCTCAGCCCATCCCTTGCAACACCCCCACTTGAACGCTGCAGCACAGGCGACCCCCCTTCGGAGCCCTCGGTGGATCGCCTCTGCTCCTTGCTTTTCACTGATGTCACGTCCCTGAAAAGCTTTGATTCACTGACTGGATGTGGTGACATTATTGCTGATGCAGAGGAAGAAGGCTCGGCTGGTAATGGAGGCAGTGGAACCAGCAGCAGTAGCAGTGGGGGCGGAGGGGGCAGTTGCAGTGTTGGTATGAATTCAAGTGCAGTTAGAGCCCCCACTATCACCTGCAGTGCCGTAACTCGAATGTCCCCATCTAAACCTCCTTTACATCCTCAAGTGACCCAGGCCTACTCCACAAGCTCCATGCCTTCCCTTACAGCTCGCATTAGGCCACCAGATTCCCCTCAGCACCAAAATGGAAGTGGGATAGTGGCGTATATGGGTGGAGGTGAGGAAATGGCAAGTCCAGAGGGGGTTGATGATGCCGATATGCAAGGGCTCTGGCACATGCTTCCTTCAACAAGAGACAACTCTCCAGCATTGCCCAGATCACATCTACCTACACAACCATCCACAAATCCACCTAGGTCAGCATCCATCCAACCAATTGCTCACCTGTCTTCAGCTGGTAGGAACAGCGAACGAAAGACACCCCAAGTCAAAGCACTAGGTCTAAGTAAAATCCCAGTAGTTGGTAGTGGAGCGGGTGCTGTCAAACCACCTCTTCCACCTTCACATAATCGCCATCCAACATCACCAGGGGAAAAAGAGCTCCTTAGTGATGAGGGTTATTGGGACACACCTTCAGCCACACCCATGGCAACACCAGATGAAAGCCGGGAACAAGACAACAACAAAATGAGCCTATCGCGTGACAGTTGTTCAGGGGATAACTTTTATGACCTCTATAATGACCCAGAAGAGGATGACGATCAAGAACTTAACAGCACCCCTTCTCCATCTTCTGTATACAAACTTAGCCCGACTTCCCAAACTCCTCCATCCTCTTCTTCATCTTCCTCGTTTCGGTCAATCAAAGGCAACACAAGTCTTTCCCGGGAATCCAAGATCCCGGTTAGCTCAAGACCAATTTCTCCACCCCCTTCAACCAACCAAGAAACTGAACTGTCTCCACCAAAGACCCAAGCCCCTCCTCCGACCCGAACACGAATCCCTGTTTCTAAGTTACCTGTACGTCGCTCTGGAAACAAACAAAGCAACCAGAAGTAGCACCCACCAATGAAGTCTATCTTTCGTCTTTTGTTTATGATCATACATGTACTGGGCCAAACGTTTCCCTGGACCTTGAGAAATACTGAGGAGTAGAGTTAAGAGGCATAACATTCTTCTCAGATATTTAAAATCCGGGCTTTGGGCTTTCTGAATTGAATAAGTGGTTTTGTTCAGGGAGAAAGTCACAAGAAGGGTCCAAAAGCTGGGTTAACACTTCAATGCCTAGAATTTTGTAGGCAAACTTAACAAGATAGGAACATGCATTAGTCAAACACTGGCCTTTTCACAGAAACCTTTTTCTGTCCTGGGTTTGACAGCCTCTGTCAACAATGCACACTGCAACAAAGCAGAGCACCTTTTCAATACTTTTCCAAGTACTTTGCCCATAAGGACCTAACAATCATACTATTTCTTTTTCTATTTTCATTGTATATTTTTGTGTAAGAAATTACCTCACATATTCTAGCAAAAGTTGAACATTTACCAGTTCCTACTAGTGATTCAATAACAACTTTGGACAGTCTATATTTGGTCCTATATGACCGCATACTAGTTACATTTGTGTGTCTCTGACAAAAAGGCAGAAGCTTGTTTGAACTTGTTGCAAATGCTTTCACTGTAAAAAGTGGCATGTCTGTGTTGAGGCACACAGGAGGAAGTGAGGTGTTTTTTTCTACTTTTTTATTACTTCTCATTACATTTGGTAACAGGCTGGTTCCAAGTTGTATCACAAAGCACTACTCTGGGATTAAAGGGGAAAGGCTTATCACTGGAAACTGTTGCAATATGTTTTTTGCACTGATGTTTCTTGAGGCGTTTCTTGAAATGTTTAGTACTTTCACTCACTCTTCCCTTGTGCATGCAAAAGGTTGACAGCCAGCCTCAGACATCTGCTGCTTTGACACTTTCATGTAGCTACACTGGGCTTTTGTGGACATCAAACAACCGATATATCATATTGTTTTGTAGGTTTCACCCACTGTGACTTACTTCTTTAAATGATTTCTGTTTTTTCTATGGATGTTCTGAGTTGCATTTGTTTGATATGCAGAGATATTATTTGGACTCAAACGTTTTGAGGAATGTAAATCAAGCTTAGACACAACTGTGTCATAAATGAGCCATTATGTAAAAGCATAATCTACAGGATATGCAGACAAATCATCTTTGGAAACTCTCTTATGTGGAGGTGAATGTATTTTAGACAAACTTCTATCCACTATGAGCAAGACTAAGTTTAGGATCAGTTTCCAACAAATAAATTGATAAAATGCCTTCATAATCAATAATATTATGCCAGTATGTTTATATACAACAGTTCTGGGCACTACTGTATGGATCTGAATGTAGCATGGCATAGGTCTAGTTTTAGAAGTGTTTTCTTTTCTCCATTTTGTTATAAATGTGTTATAAATCAGATCTTCTTTTCAAACAAAAATAATGAAAATAATAAATTACCCTATATGTTCAAGCTCTCTGTAATTGGATAGTAAGAGAAACATTTTCTGCTCAATGTTAAATTTAAACCAATTCATTATTTTTGATATAACGCAATGATTGCAGTAAAATTACACTTGGGGATTACTTGTTCTAAAAGCTTTCCATCTCATTACCAAGGAGGTTACGTTTTCATTGTGTTTAATAGCTTAGGCTGTTTGTTTATATGTTAGTTAGTTGACAAAATAATTTAAATGGGTGTATTTCAATTACGTTTTTAATCAATCTCTGGAATAGGACACTGAACGATTCATACAATTTAGGGGGTGATCCGGATTACTGTCTGGATTTTAAAGGAATGGAACGGCTTGGCGGAGGTCTGTGCTCTATGAGTGCTTTTCTAGTTTTAAACACGTCAATTGATCCATGACAAGGCTCAAAAATCTCTACTCTCCTCCTGATAATGCATGTGGCAGACTGGTGTAACCTGTTATTGAAGGAACTCAGATTTTGACTACAGGGTGCAAACAATTTAATGAAATGTATTATTTGTATAACATCACAACAACGACATCCATTGACTGGGAGGAGTTTAAAAAAATGTTGATTCACCAACAACAGGATTTGTAATAATAACAAAAACATTGGTTGAACAATGTCCATCAATGTCTCAGAACCTCACTGTCCTTAAACCCTCCTGCATCAACAATCAATTTGGACGTAATCATACTTTAAGTTCCTATGTCTTTCTTTCATAAATGCAAAATGTTCTCAGTATAAAAAACTGGACAAACTGTGATCATGCACTGTACTTCAGGAGTAATTATGTGGGGTGCCCCTGGGTTGACACCATTGATATGCCAAAGTAAAATAGCACTTATGCTCAGTTAAATGTTAATATTCATCTCATATGTCGCTTTCAATGGCATCAATCACACAGGTCCTACCAATACCATGTTTGTGTTTTCTGTTTGATGCGTCCTCAAAAACACAATTTGTTTCTTCTAATTTGTTACATTATTGCTTGCATTTCCTTTTGATATTTAATTAACAATAAAATGTATTTGAGCTAAGAGATTGGAATTGGTTTTCATTGCTGTCAGTGCTTCATTTAGTATTTCACATGAAACCATGTGACCAAACACACTTTTAGTCTGAAGAACTTTCTGTTTTTTACAATTATGTTGATGGCGTGTCCTGAAATGAGCTTTTGAATAGAATTTATTAGTGTTGGATTGATGTGTCGCTCTAAGCATCTTCCAGGGTGAAACAAGAACATGTTGCGACTGTTTGAGTTATGCTGATGCTCTTTTAATTGCATTCAAATCACTTGTGTGCTGGTGAAAATAAATAATATGTGTCGAGGTAGGATTTGGTGCAGTGCGAATCCCCATTTACAATGGTGCAGCAGTCCCCTTCTCCCCCCTTCTCCCACTTTGCTGCTCTGTTTCTGCACAGGGGTTTATGTAAAATCCTTATGTAAGAAAATAACACCCTGCTGAACCAGCCCACTAGATCAAATCTAGAAAAGCTGTGTGTTTCAACATCAAACCATTAATCTGCTGCTGCTACAGACTGGTCATGTGCAAATAACCTAGATAGGATGGTTCTTTTTTGTTTAGGATAATTTACAAAACAAATACTTGCAAATGCCAAAGGGAATTTACACAAGGACACACTGTACAGTAGGGAGAAATTGTGCATCACTTCACAAAACTTGAGTGCTGCTAAAATGAGATAAATTAAATTTTCTTTTTAGCTGAGTAATGACTTTGACTGTTCCGACTGACTCTTCTACTCTAATGGAGCTAAATGGATCATGATAATCAAGACAGTAAAGTAGAAGGGCGCAGCTAAAAGAAACTTAGCATGTCCGTACTGAATTAAAGGGCTTTTCCCCTTTACTACCATGTGAAGGATTCTTCTGGCTTATTCTCCATTAAGACAGTATTTTAGGTTTTACTTAAAAAGGGTACTATCGTTTTTAAGTCAAACCTAAAAACTTTTACCATGAAAAATTCTAGATTACGACATATAGTGATATGATATGACACAAATTTTGAAACTTTAAAAATTTCAAATGAGTTTGTTATGAAAATGTCAAATCATAAAAGCTTGCCATTTTCATAACAAATAGTAAGTTGCCAAATTTGTGTACTTATTTTTTGGTTAGTTTCATAAATACGTACAGAAAGAGTCTTGAACCAAATGGACCACAACATGCTTATTAGATTACATTTTAATATTTTAACGTACTTATGATTGTCTTAGAGAGGGCTGGTACTTTTTGAGAGAAAAAGTGAATCTAAAGATGTGGCATAGGCCATTCATACGTGAAAGTATGTAATGACATATGCCATTTATTACATCAAAAGCTGGAAACACACATTGTGCATGGCAGCCTCACTGTGCATAGGAACCTCGACAGGTCACCCAATCAGGAGATGGGGGTGGACCTGTGAGGAGGTGTGTTTGGGGGTGGTGTCTGCTGACATCTACTATGAGAGACATGACTTACAAAGTATTGCAATACAGCAAGACACATGAGTTACCATTGAACTACATAAAACGTACATAAAAATATAGATAATATTGTGATTAGGGAAACTTTGGAAGTACTACGAAATATTGCAATACTGCAAAAGAACAAAATTGAAAACTGTAAATATATAAAAATGATATGCATGAAAACATAAAATATACTTAGAAATCCCCCAACAAATAATAAGAAGTACAAAAATAATGCAAAAAGTCACACCATTATTAGAGTAGAAAAGTGTGGGAAGTGCTGCATAAAAAACAATCTAAAATGTATAGATAAGCAGAGCTTGTTTGTATGAGGCCTGGACTGGGTCCTGATCCTGGGTCAGAGTCTTGGTCTGGGTCCTAGTCAGACTACTGGGACAAAGTTCTGGTCTGGGTTCAAGACCTGGGTCCCTGTCCTGATCTGAGTCCGGGTCCTGGTCCAAGTCTGAATTAAAGTCTAAATAAGAAGAAGTTCAGTTGAAGGTCATACAATTATGTGGCTTAAGTTCATTATGTCTTCTTATGTTTAAGGTTTAGAAGTGTCTGCTTAATTTATTACAGATTTAAACAACTATGTATTTCTTGCAATATAGAATATACAGTATTTTGAACTTTATCAATTTATTTGAGCATAATGTTACAGGCTAACCCTAACCCTAACCCTAACCCCATTAGATTTGTATAGTTACAAGGGAAAGCAAAAAAAAAGTCCTTCTGTCAATCAGGCTACAGATGTTAGGATAATGTACATGCTCACAAATATGATGCTATCACATACATACATACGTACATACTGCATAATACTATTAGGCGGCTGCATATATGGAAAAAAAACCCTAACCCCAATTTTGTTTTTGATTTTTGTGGTATTAGGTGTCCTTAATAACATACTAAAAGTTTACCAAAGTTTGACCACTAGAAAGGTGTAAATTTCAAGATGGCGTCCAAGATGGGCCGGAAGCTCTTAACATAGCCTAACTCGTTCATTATTGGACCTAGCCAAGTAATCTTGGTGTCTAACCCCATGTTTTCTG